GCGGACGTCGTGGAAGACATTTTGTCCCGTAACGCTCGCCGTACTGTTGGGGGGGGGGGGGAGAAGCGGGGGGGGGGGGATGTTCATGTTGCTGCAGTCTGCAGTCTGACCGCTAGATGTCGCTAAAAGTTACACACTGTAGCTTTAATAAAAATTATCACATTCTGCAGATATTTGTTTTTAACTACTTCAGTTTATTAAATGAGTTTCAGAAAAAAAATAAGTCTTATTTTTATATAAAAGGCAAAAATAGTGGTTGTATTCATTAACATCTATAGCCAAGGAAGCAGCTGCTAAAAGTTCAGCCTTTTCCTTGCCGGTTTATCTTCACTGCAGGTCCAGCTGCTTCTGCAGTGAAGCAGATCCCAAACATAAAAGTATAGGAAGTTTATCTTGCAAGTTTTATTCTGTACTTTAAAAGAGAATTTTTCATAATCCAAAGAATGATAACCATATGAAAGAGAACCTGAAGATAACAGATAACCTTCTTTGTTTTTTCTCTGTAGATAGAAGTTATTTGGGTATGGAAAATTATGCTATTAGATAAAACCAATGAGATGCTTTTGTTGAATTCATACGCCTTTACAGAAAGATGAGTAACTTACAAAAAATATATATATACTTTTTAAATGCGACGTCAATAGTAAAAGCATGAAACGATGTCTCCCTGCTACAGGTGGTTGTCTGGGTCCTTTTCTGGATGCGGTTGCCATGTTTGCAGAGTTTAAAGCTTCTACTTGCACAGGGGTGGGCAATTCCAGTTCCTGAGGGCTGGTATCCTGCAACTTTTAGATCTGCCTTTGGTTCAACACACCTTAATCAAATAACTAGGTGATTAAGACGACTCTGGAGGAACTGAGTGCGTACTGAGAGGTAACTCGGCTATTTGAAGTGTGTTTGACCAAGGGTGGATCTAAAAGTTGCAGGGTAATGGACATCCATGAACTGGAATTGCCCACTCCTGCACTAGCAGATCAGCTAATGTGAATGGGGCAGTTTGAATGGTTTGTGACATAAATGATTATATTGAAAAACTCAAAGTTGATTCTACATCAAAGTGTCCATTAAATTGATAAATCTGTTCGGCAATTAACTTTGATGGTGAGCTGAATTCATACGGGATTTCTGTGTCACAAAAACACAGGAGAGTCAATCTTTTTTCGCTGACACTTCAAACATCGGTCAGATTGCAGTGTTAATGTTTATGCTGGACATGCAGCTAAAACAGAAGCTGAACCAAAATAAACATGGCAGTGCAGGAGGACGTATGCCTGGTGCTACTCATAATGAGAAACCGTGACCTACAGCTTCTTGATAATCACTGATGTTCTACTGACAGAACTTTCCTTTTATGGCTCAAGATACTCATCAGTTGGTCTTTAAAATTTAAGGATTAAATGTTGGACGATACATTTTTTTTTTTTAATTTCATTTGCTTTTACCAAAATTTCGATTATGTTTCAATTTTACTCTGTACTGTCTACAAGCAATAGGTGTGTTTGATAGATTTACATGTTTTTAGACAAACAACACATCAAAGGGTTATTTGTATTAATGAGATTATTTTTATTTCAGAGAAACAGAAAAATTTCTGTCAAACAGATTTCCTGGTAATTAATCCAGTGGTAATTATAATCCAGAGTTTATAACTCATCTGCTGCGTGGAGCGGCGCTTACTTCTGCTCTGATGCATGCATTTGCAGCCCAGCTGCTGTGTGGCAGCAGACGCGCTCTGAGCTGTTTCTATGACAACTGCTGAGTGTCGATCAGTTCAGGTCCGTATCGGATCTCCATCCCTGACCTGAAGGTCTGCATGTTTCACCCTGCAGGTGCTGTTGGCAGCGGCGGTGTGCACCAAGGCCGGGAAGGCCATCGTGTCGCGGCAGTTTGTGGAAATGACCCGGACACGGATCGAGGGCCTTCTGGCTGCGTTCCCCAAGCTGATGAATACGGGGAAGCAACACACCTTTGTGGAAACGGACAGCGTTCGCTACGTTTACCAGCCGCTGGAGAAGCTCTACATGGTCCTGATCACCACCAAGAACAGCAACATCCTGGAGGACCTGGAGACGCTCAGACTTTTCTCCCGTGTGGTAAGAAAGCAAAAAGTTGCCCGTGACCCAGTGGCGGGTTTGAACTTTTAGCAAATGTGCATATGCGTATTTCAATTAGGGATGAACGATATATCGAATATATTCGATGTATTCTGAGTTTTCCCACGCACGATAGTTGAAATGCCTCTATCGCAGCCATCAAGTACAAATTCCCATGACGACATCAAGCCTTCTGCATCCATTTAACTGAGTTTTATTTTTCCCACACACTTTGAATGCATCATAAATCCCTCCTCGAATCAGGATTATTTTCTGCGTGGCACCCACTCACTCTATAAAAACCTGCTAACAAAATATGACAACAGCAGGTGTTTCAGCTAGAAATATACGGCAGTGATTTGGATTTAATGCCGAGGATGTTGAACAATAGGCATTAATTTGTAAGACCAAAAACCATTGCTGCAAAAGGTAGCAGTAATTCAATTCAGTTTATTTCTATAGCGCAAAATTCACAACACATGTCATCTCAAGGCACTTTACAGTTCACCAGATCATATAGTCAAATTGATTCAAAGTTTTCTATCTAAGGAAAACCAGTTGATTGCATCGACTCAAATGCAATCCCTCACACTAAGCATGCCTGTAGCGACAGTGGAGAGGAAAAACTCCCTTTTAACAGGAAGAAACCTCCAGCAGAACCAGGCTCAGTGTGAGCGGCCATCTGCTGAGGCCCACTGGGGTTCAAGGAGACAGAAGCAGAGATACAGAAAGCAGCTGTGAAAGGCGGCCCCGTCCAGGAAACACACAGCCAGGCAGACGAGCTCCGAGCCAGCTCCCATGCCAGAGGACGAAGAGAGCACATCCAGTTAGTCACGGTCAGAGAAACAGGACTACACTGGAAAACAGGCCAAGCTCCAGCGTCTATAAACAAGGGTGTTGATGGCAGCAGCACGGCTGATATTTCTCTCCAGGATGGAGTCACAGCCAAACAGATTGAACTAACAGATTCTGCAGAGTGGGAGAATAGAGATAGAATGATGAAATGGGGGTCCCTATGTCCTCCAGCAGTCTAAGCCTATAGCAGCAGAACTATAGAGATAGCTCAGGATAACCTGAGCCACTCTAACTATAAGCTTTATCAAAAAGGAAAGTTTTAAGCCTAGCCTTAAAAGTAGACAGCATGCTGAACCTTGACAAATGCCGCAGCCGTTTTATCGAGAGAAGCGTGATGGATACACAGATGAGCACTTGTAGAAACACTATTTTTGTCGATATTATGATCAAATTTGGAAGGCTGCTTGCCAGGATATAAGACAATGTTTCTATTGTGTCAAATAGTTCATTCCTGGCCTGCTGGAGTACAATTCTTAATTATTTTTTAAATAGAAAATTCAGGTGATAATTGTTTTTTACATTCAGGGCTGTTTTAAGAAGCATACCACGTACACAGCAGTGCACCCACAATAAATCAGAATGTACAGGTGATAACTAGAGTGCATTCTTTTCATGGGGCCCAGAACTTTAGTTTTACTCCATATGGCTCAAGACCTATAAAAGTTTAAATTTGGAGATTTGTCAGCTGAAAATCCTGGGAATAGTGAGGGATTTTTAAATGAATGCAGACATCTTTCTTCTGTTTGTCAGTCGGACATGTTGTTCGGGGAGCTCAGGATGCACCTTGTAATTGTTGGTTGAACTCTTTAACGTTTCCAGATCCCAGAATACTGCCGTGTTCTGGAGGAGAGCGAGATCTCAGACCACTGTTTTGACCTCATCTTCGCCTTCGATGAGATTGTGGCGCTCGGCTACAGAGAAAACGTCAACCTGGCTCAGATCCGCACCTTTACAGAGATGGACTCCCATGAGGAGAAGGTGTTCCGAGCGGTCAGAGAGGTGAGTCCTCCTCTTTGGACCGTGTGAAACGCACAGCAGTGACCTGGATGGAGCTTAAAGTTCGTGCTGTCTTTGAATGTCTGCAGACTCAGGAGCGTGAGGCCAAAGCAGAGATGAGGAGGAAAGCTAAGGAGCTGCAGCAGGCCAGGAGAGACGCGGAGCGCTCTGGGAAGAAGGTGCCGGCGTTTGGTGGGTTTGGTAACGTGAGCAGCGTGTCCTCAGGCTCCATGATCACTGACACCATAGTGGAGCCAGAAAAACCCAAGTTCACACCGACTCCAGCCCGGTACGCCACAGAAAAACCCATCTCCGCGTTCATACTGAACTCCTTTAGTCACTGGGCATCTGATTAAGGGTTCTTCTTCCTCCAGGTCCAGTGGACCCAGCAGGGCTCTGAAACTCGGGGCTAAAGGCAAAGAAGTGGACAACTTTGTGGACCAGCTTAAGTCTGAGGGAGAAACCATCATCTCCCCCTCAGGAAAGAGAGGCTCAGACGTCTCTAAAGTTCTGCCACCTCCAGTCAACATGGAGAGGTAACCACTTTTAATGTGACTTAGAAAGTTTCTAAATGTCTCAGCCTTTCCACTAATGGTGCAGAACCATCTAGTCCAAGTTTGAAGAGCCCGAGTGTTTTTAAACCTGGTGGAGTAAAAGCTGCTCCCTGGAGTCAGATTGTCGGTCAAACCTGCTGTTTCCTCCTCAGCGTACATCTGCGCGTGGAGGAGAAGATCACGCTGACCTGCGGCCGTGACGGCGGCCTTCACAACATGGAGGTGCTCGGCATGGTGACGCTCCGAGTCACCGACGAAAAGTACGGACGCATCCGCCTCATCATCAACAACAACGACAACAAGGGACTGCAGCTTCAGGTTGGTCTAAAAAAGATGTATATCCAGCCATTCAGCAAAGATAAGATGAACATCTTATTTTGGCATTTGACCAATTAGACGAGCCCTTGAATGATACATTACCTACTGGGAATTAAGTTGGAAAAAAAAAAAAAAAACTTAAGTCAAGTCAACCAATTTGAGATCCAAAAGATTATTCAACTATTGTCACTAATGTTGCACCGATGCCCTTTGTTGGCCCTGATACCGATACCAGATACCTGGCTGTGCATCATCGGCCGATACCATCTGTTTGAAAGTGATGTGTGTGTATATATGAAGAACTGCATACTGCTTGGATGTAAAATAATTTCCATCATGGCTTTGTCAAGCCTCTGCCTACCTTTTTAAAGCAGGAAAAAAACTAATACAAAGTGAATCCAGTAGAACTTTTTATTGCCTACCTGCAATGGGTGACAATTAGTGTTGCAACGATACCAGTATCGGACGGGGCCCCGATCCACCACTAAATGGTGGCAAGTACCAACAAATTGGGCTCCGATACTATTTTGAAGGCCAAAAGTTTCTTCAACTATTGTCACCCATTCCAGGTAGGCAATAAAAAGTTCTACTGGATTCACTTTGTATTATACCCCATTTACACTACCCTTGAAAAACCGTGCGGGGACCGGTCCGAGCTCAGTAACTGAGATAACTTATTGTGTGTAAATGGAAAGCAAACTAACCTGAACCGAGATAGACACAACCGGACCGAGCTAACTGCAGACCAGTTCCAGAGGTGGGCTCGGCTCGGTTTTTCCCCGGCTCGGTTCTCTGATAACAAGAGCGCATGAGCAGAACGCGTCATCTCCATCTGGCTGCACATCCCGATCAACACTCCATTCCAGTAGCTGGCGTTAATGCCCCTCCAGTAACAGAAGAAGAAAAACTTCTTCTTCAACTATAAACAACAATCGAAATCTTCTCCATGCAACATTTTAAATAATGGCATTTTAAATAATAATAACGAAGTACAGCAATAATAATCAAGTATAACTTTCTGAATGTGACGGGCGCCACCATTTTGATTTGCTTGATTCCCTCCTTCTTCTTCTTGTGTTTTATGGCGGTTGGCAAACAACTTTTGGTGCATTACCGCCACCAACTGCTTGATTTCCTCCTTCAATACTGGCAGTAATACCGCAGATCGTCTCTAGGAGGCGAGGAACCGAGATAGCGTGATGTGTAAACAATCGTCAGAACCAAGCTTTGCCTGGTTGACTGATCCGAGCTCAGATCGGTCTCAGCATGGATCGGTTTTTCAAGGGTAGTGGAAATGGGGTATTAGTCCTTTTCCTGCTTCACAAAGGTAGGCAGCAGCTTGACAAAGCCATGATGGTAATTATTTTGCATCCAAGCAGTATGCAGTTCTTCATATATAAACACACGTCAATTTCAAACGGATGGTGTCGGCCGATACTGCACAGCCAGGTATCGGTATCAGGGCCAAAAAATGGCATCGGAGCGACACTAGTGACAATAGTTGAATAAACTTTTGGCTCTCAAATTGGCATCAGTGCCTTATTTGTTGGTACTCGCCAATACAGATACCAGCATTTAAGTGCACTACTGGGGCCCCGCCCAACACTGGTATCAGTGTAACACTAGTAATAAGGTCTGGTCCTGGATTCCAATAATAATTGGCTTGAAATTTGATTTTCAAAGTATTTCACTGAGTGTCCTGTAAAGAGTTAAGTTCTTTTACAATAATGAGAGCCAAATGATCCCCGCAGTGTCTGTTTAACTCCTGGTTCTTAAACTAACAATGTTCACTGTTTCTGCTCTGCAGACGCATCCTAATGTGGACAAGAAGTTATTCACAGCTGATTCTGTGATCGGTCTGAAGAACCCAGAGAAGTCCTTCCCGCTCAATAACGACGTCGGCGTTCTGAAATGGAGACTGCAGACAACAGACGAGTCCCTCATACCTCTAACCAGTACGTCTTCTGGACTTTTCCTTAAAACATTGTTAATTAGACTGATGCTTATCGGCCAAAAGGAATCCTAAAGCCTTAAGAGTTTCATTAAAAGTTGGTTAATTGAGCAGATTTTCCTTTGATAACAAAGCCTGAAGGCGTCACACGCTGATCTCTAATTTTTCACTGGATTGCTGATAGCTTGTTGGTAGTACACGGTGCTGGGAAGTCGCCGGCCGCCATATTGGTACTCCCTAGATAGAGCGGTTGGAATGTAAACAACACGTGCACTACAGCACCGAACAACAATGATGATCTCATTTTCAGGGAGGCTTAAGTCTTTTAAAATTAAATTCATTGCCTGGACACACACTGGCTGTTTCATAGCATCAGTAGGCTGCAGATGGCGTCACAGGGAGGAGAGAAAGGAGGCCTCTGATTGGTCAATTCTCCATCCGCTCTACACTATGTGTATTTCCTGTTTGGTACCTAATGGCAGAAACTCTGGCTGTAGTTCCGTCCACGCCGCCTGGCACACTTCGGACACTATCCCAGACACCGTGCAGGACGCTAGTTTGTAGCTCTGTGCGACTGTCTGTTGGTTTGCAGCCGAAGCCAAAACATGCAGCGCCCTTACCAGTCTTTGGGGAAGACTGGCTCTTGCAGGTGAACTGTGCGTCGTC